AATACGAGATAAGTATATGAGAAGAGTTTTGTCTTGACTTACGTGAAACATGCTTATAAGTGATTACTATTTTATGCCAAACAAAGTCTATATATCACAACACACGCGCACACAGACGTATTTTATTAAGTAATTCTTCGTCTCCTCTTCTAATTAAAACGAAAAACAGCAAGTCGATCTAACCTCAAGTTTTCTCGTGAAAATCTAACAAGGTTGTCATCAAAATTCATCTTCTCAATTCTGTAACAGGTAATATTTCAAGTGACATGTGTAACTAAACTTTCATTTATTTGTACAAACCACGTCATCTAGAACATGATCCCACACAAAATCTTAGGAAGGAATGGCCGTGTATCAATATGATTGGCTAGCTAATTAAAAATTAACACAGCACAAATGATTTATTATCACAGCACCAAAAGTGAACTCTCAGGATGTATAAATTGTTCTCTCCCTCTAGCCATTATATTTCCACTTAAATCATGCAAATCTAAGAGGTTGTGGGCTCCAATGTGTTGCCAATGTCAATCACAAAACGATATTTGACGTCAGCTTTGAGGAGACGTTCCATTGCAGTGTTCACATAATCCACTGGAATAACTTCTATGTCAGGTTTCACGTTGTGCTTGGCAGCAAAATCCACCATGTCTTGCGTTTCCTTCAGCCCTCCCACAGAACTCCCAGCCACCATCTTTCTCCCTGCCAATATATATGTATTTATTGTTGAAACATTAGTAAGCTTCACATATTTATTCTTATCTTCAAAACATGATAAGATATGGTAATTATTTTCTTACCCACAAGTAAAGGGATCACCGGCAGCTCCTGAGGCTTTTCAGGTGCACCCAGCAATACAAGTTTCCCATTAGACTTCAACAGACCAATCAAAGGCCCAAGAGGATGCTGTGCAGAAACTGTGTCAATGATCCCATCCAAAGTTCCCATCGCAGCCTACACAGACATATGCAAGTGACCATAGAATTATTTTACAAGGTCTGATTTTTCTCCTGACTATTCAGATATGCACAGATATATACAACTACCATCATATACGCCAAGCGCATCTGTAAGAGGTACCGTACCTGCATCTGATCTGGCTCGCGGCTGACAATAAAGGAGTCAGCTCCGAGATGTTCAATGGCTTCCTTCTTTTTGTTAGGAGATGTACTGATGACAGTGACCTTAGCCCCAAAAGCTTTGGCGAACTTGACAGCCATATGGCCAAGGCCGCCAAGACCAACCACACCCACATGAAGGCCTCGCTTGTCTAGACCAAAGTACCTCAAAGGGCTATAAACTGTGATCCCAGCACAAAGCAGAGGAGCCGCAACATCAAGAGGCAAAGCATCTGGAATACGAACCACAAAGTGTTCGTCTGCAACCATAGAGTCCGAGTAGCCTCCATGTGTCATAGTCCCATCCACATACTTTGAACCAGAAGTAAATATTTGCTCTGAGCATTGATTCTCGAGGTCGTCGGAACAGCTTTGGCAGGAGCGGCAGGATCCAACCATGTATCCAACACCAACCTTGTCTCCAACTTTGACTTTTTCGACCTTGCTTCCCACCTCTGTCACCACACCAGCAATCTCGTGCCTGAATTAGCCAATATTTGCAGTAGTTAGAATGAATAATCAACCTTGACATTCATAGACTACCAGTTATAAATTTTATCAGAGAGAGTGGATACACACACACACACACACATACCCAGGTACAAGGGGATAGGCGGAGATGCCCCAATCGTTCTTGAGCATGTGGAGGTCGGTATGGCATATTCCACAATACATCACCTTGAATCTCACATCTTTCTCTCCGGTTTCTCTGCAGAAATGAAACGGTTGAATTTAGCGACAAACATAACGGAACAGAGACCAAAAGCGATCAGCATTATAACGAAACACGGATGGATGTGTATATCTAAGACACCTTCGAGAGAAGTTGAAAGGGGAGAGAAGGCCAGATGCGTCTCTAGCTGCCAATCCGAAGGCCTTCCTTGGATGCTCAAACTCAGGTCGTACTGCCATATTCGAATCTGTGATATCTCTGTATCAGTCGCGCTCGTAAAGACAAGAAGGTGTAGTAGAAAAAGAAGTGGACGGGGGATGAGGCGCGAGGAATAAGAAGCGAGAGTTTGGAGAGTACAAGAAAGCAGACATGAATGAGGCATGAGCAAATTGAAGGAGGCTCTATTTATGAGTCACGAGGGGAGGGCTGCCTTAACGTGTTGGATGACGCACACGAGTCCAACGCACGGTGTCGATCTCGTGCTTTTTCTGAGAGGAATTCTAGAAACAAACGCAAACGGCACGTGGAACCATAGGCGAAGAGATCTCTCGTTGATGAACTTTGACCCTAATGCTGTCTCCTTCACATAATCATGTGAAGGCGTGGACCACTTTGCCGCCAGACACCGGCCGTGTAATGTGCAAATTTGAAATTCTTTAAAAAAAAAAAACTGAAAATTACTAAATACTCATACTAAATAAAAAAAATATCAATAACAATTTATTCTTATTTAGAAATTCAGTATTATTAAGTGTTAACACCTGATTTAAAATTTATTAATTTTCAACTTTTTTTTGACATTTTTCCAATTCTTAATCAGTAATTTTTGAATAATTTTTTTAATAAAAAATTAACCGTTAAAAGATAATTTTTATTTTAAATTTTGCACATGTTAAAATATTAAATGATAAAAAATATTAAGAAAATATATATTAAATCTAACCGTCTAACTTCCAATCTGGACGGTTCGAAATTAGATTGTAGAAATATAATACTCTTCTAGTAAACAAACAAATAAATAAAATCCACATGATCATACCTTTAGATGAACAATAATTTCTTTGATAAAAATTAATGTTATCTTCATTTCAAATTTTTTAAATAATAAACCATTTAGGCAATCCAATTTTCTTTTGAAAAATCCTCTTATTGAAACAAAGTGATCCAAATTTTATGTAGTACTCCTTCTATTTTTAACATAAGACATGATTAACTAATTTGACTAGATTAAGAATATTAGTTGAATTAATTAATATGATATATTTTTTTCTAAAATACCCTAAGTATTTTTTTAATTATCTTCTTCCCTCTCTTACTTGATTATTGTTGAGAAAACATCAATAAAGTTAATTTAAAAAAATTGATAATTATATGAAATAGTTATTACATTTAAGACCAATATTAACTTTTTAATTAGATGCTATATTAATGATAGGAGAAGTTTGTTTAGGTTTTTTCCTCTTCTCATAAAGAGAAAACATAATTAATGACTACGCAACATAATTAATGACTATGTGCAATACTCGATGCTCTTTTGATTTTTAGTATAAAGCCTATAATTAACTAATTTAAATAGATTAAGAATGTTAATTAAATTAGTTAATATAATATGTTTTTTTCTAAAATACCCTAAGCATCTTTCTTAATTTCTTTCCTTCATCTCCTACTTGATTATTATTGAAGTAATATCAATAAATTTAATTAAAAAATTAATAAACCTATAAAATAGGTTTTATATATAAGACTAACATTAACTCTTTAATTAACTCTTATTTTAAGAACAGAATAAAATTTGATAGGATACTACCATCCTTGTGCAACTGACAGATCAGCTCCAATTGTTTTCACTTTAATTTCTTAAACAACGTTTGGATGTCAAAATCTTTGGGAAAAATGACATTTAAAGACCTTTCAAAATTAAGTAATTTTTTTTACCAAGAAAATTAAGTAATTTGTCAATCCCAAGTTATTATAATGACAGTTTGAGTGAAGTATCAAGCTAAAACTCAACCTCGATACAATGACAGGTCATGATTGAAAGATTAGTACTCCTCCACTTTAAAATATAGGATAAAATTTATTCATTTATATTCATTAAAAATTAGTTGAAATCAGTTTAAAACAAGAAATATGCAAGACATATATATTTTTTTCCAAATATATTTTTATTAATAAAAAATAAAAGATGCAATAAATGAATAAAAGAGAAAAGTGAATATATGAGGGGCAAAATTTAAAAGAAATTCATTAAATGCTTAAACAAAAATAAATATTATTTTATAAATAAAAAAAACCAAACCCTTCCAACAAAACTTATCTTATACTACCTCCGATCTTAATTATAAGAGCCAGCTGATTAATTAGAGAAGATTAAGAAAGTAAGTCGAGTTAGTTATTTGTTCTAAAGAAGTGTTGTCTTTCCTAAAATATCATTACTAATCAAGTGTATTGACTAGAACTATCATTGTTAGAAAGGCTACTTTGAGAAAAAATGTATAAATATGGGAGATAAAATGGATTGAGGTCTTATATTTAGGACCAAAATAAAAATCAAATAAGGTCTTATATTAAAGACCGGAGGTAGTATTTTGAACTGTAGAAAATACTAAAAATGAATCACTCATGAGAGGTTTAATTCTATCCAAAGATCATCCTGATTCCTTTCTAAAAATTCAAAATTTTAAGATTTTTACATAAAATTAATATGTTAGAGGATCTTTAAATGTTATTCTCCAAAATCTTTACAAGTAAAAAAGTTTTATTGAATCCTCACCATCTAATGCCCCTTCTTCCTTGTTAAGATGGAAAAATCCTGTAGTACGGATCAATTGAGTACAATTTTTTACTTCGTGAGCCAGACCTGCCAACATGCATTGCACTAGAAAGATGGCGGGACCAACAAGCAATGCCATTAAGTCAAAATGCAGCGGGTGAGATTATTACATTTCATTAGGAGTGTTATTGGAAAGATAAAGTAATTTTTTTTTTCGTTGGCCAGAGAAAGATAAAGTAATTCCAAGAACATTAATTAACTTCCAATAATTATCTCAATCACTTGCCATGCATTAAATTTTAACTTCTGTTTGCTGGCATGGCATCAATAAGAATCTGATGAAAAAATAATGCAGACTCAAGGGATTCACTTGCTACCAGCTTATTAGTTTAGGTACTTGGTTATAAAAATTCTAAAAGTATGAGGACTGAGTTAAAAATTGGGATAAATTGTAAAGACTAAGAGATTATTATTTCCTTAATTTCACTCATATCTATCTCGTTATAAAGCTAGAGTTTCTCATTTTCCTTGGATACAAAATCTACTTTAGCTGACACTAAAATTTAACCCCAACCATTACACTCGCCAAAACAGTCAACTGATGCTTAGCTCTTACACACTTCAGTCAAGAAGGACTGTAAACTACCAAATTTATGAAGCTCAACCAACAATAAGACGCAAATGATATATATATGTGTATATATATATAAAATATAGGGATTAATCAACCTTCAGCAGAATCTTGCATCATCTTGTGAAATTTGGAATTATGCAGAACTAGAGGCTTGGCTTCAATGTGTTGCCAATATCGATAACAAAACGATATTTGACATCTGCTTTGAGAAGACGCTCCATTGCAGTGTTCACATAATCCATAGGAATAACCTCAATGTCAGGTTTCACACTGTGTTCAGCAGCAAAATCGATCATTTCTTGCGTCTCCTTAATCCCTCCAATGGCACTTCCAGCTATTGTCTTTCTCCCTGCCAAAATATTCTAAAACTTCGTAAGCTTAAAAATTCTATTCCAATCTTTAAGCCGTCATATTAAGTTACTTCAAGTTGCGTGAGGCACTTTAATTACTCAAAACATTAATCTTGGGTTATATGTTAATTACCCGTCATTAAAGGGAAGACTGGCAACTCCAGAGGCTTCTCTGGTGCACCCAGCATTATAAGTTTCCCATGACGCTTCAACAAACCAATCAAAGGCAACAGAGGATGGGTGGCAGAAACTGTATCAATGATTCCATCAAAAGTGCCTAATACAGCCTAAGCACACACGAAAATAATAACTGTGAGTGATTAAAAAAGAATCATCTGATATTCATAGAACCATGCAATGAACAAGTTTCTAAGGGTGACACCTTTATTTCAGCTGGCTCAGTGCTGACCACAAAGGAGTCAGCTCCAAGATGTTCAATGGCCTCCTTCTTTTTGTTAGGAGATGTACTGACTACTGTAACCTTAGCCCCAAAAGCTTTAGCAAATTTGACAGCTAAATGACCAAGTCCACCAAGACCAACCACACCCACATGAAGGCCTGGCTTGTCCAGACCAAAGTACCTCAAAGGGCTATACACTGTGATCCCAGCACAAAGCAGAGGAGCCGCAGCATCAAGAGGTAAAGCATCTGGGATTCGAATCATGAAGTGTTCTTCTGCAACCATCAAGTCAGAATAGCCTCCATAGGTGATAGATCCATCCACGTACTTGGAACCGTACGTGAGAATCATTTTTGGGCAATAGTTCTCAAGATTCTCGGAGCAGCTTTGACAGGATCTGCAGGACCCAACCATGCATCCTACGCCAACCTTGTCTCCAACTTTGAATTTCTGTACCTTGCTTCCCACTTCTGTTACTATACCAACAATCTCGTGCCTGTACTTGGTACACCGATTAGAATCGGATGAATTTCACTGACGATGTTTCTAACAGATATATTCACAATTACTTCACTGACACTTCAAAATCTAGTTTTAAAACTTGTTCCTGATACATGAAAAGGACAGGGATCTACCAGACCTGTCCTGCTGGAGTATTTTATTCCATATTGAAAAAGAATTTTCAAATGAAGTTGGCGGATGCGTGGAATCTTAATTAAATTAAACACGGAAAGTTCAGCAGATGTGTAACGTAATCTATTGAGAAAAAAAAGAAAAAAAAGGAGAACGAATTGAAATTTGTTTTTTATAGACAGTCCTTGGATTGTTGCTGTCGGCGAAATCTGGATGAGTTTTTTAATCACCGGTGACGTTTAGAGGAAATGATTAACAGGATCGTATAAAAGAAAGCCGGGACAGAGCATACCCAGGAACAAGCGGATAGATCGAAATGCCCCATTCATTCTTGGACATGTGGAGGTCCGAATGGCATATTCCACAGTATAACACTTTGAATGCGACATCTCTCTCCCCGGTCTCTCTGCAAAACAAAGGTTCATATTAACAAAGCTCACCTAAAGTAATCAGCAAGTAACCAATAGTGCCATCATAACCATTAGAATGATGTCATTAACTTCCAAAATATTCGGTGAAGCAACTAAGGATCTGAAGTCTAGACCATAATTTCTTGGTCCAAAAAAAAAAAAAGGAATTAAATCAAACACCTGGTAGAGTTCTCATGATTTTCCCATAACAACCAGAGAGTGACGAGTCCTATAAATCATCCACATGTGATCCACCAACACTCAAAAGAGCAAGAAAAGTGCAGAGCATAAATAAAAAGGGGGGGGGAGGAGAACCTTCTAGAGAAGTTGAAAGGGGAAAGAACACCGGAGGGATCTCTGGCGGCCCATCCACAAGCCTCGCGGGGATGCTCAACCTCCGGTTTCACCGCCATTGGAAGCGTACGTACTCTTGAAGCTGGAATCAGAGAAAAGCTGAGAGAGAGAGAGAGAGAGAGAGAGAGAGAGAGAAACAGAGAGGGAAGGTGTACTATGAATTTATGAGGGTGGGAGTGGGAGTGGGAGTGGGAGTGGGAAGAGGGAAGTGATGGGCGTCACAGTTCACAGATCACAGCCAGTGGGACACCGAGACGCAGGGAGTGGGTGGAGACAATGAAGAGAAACAGATGGCGCAATAAATCACCTCATTAGACAGTTCAACCAAATAACTGTTGCCATCGCTTGTGTGGTTTTTTAACGTTTTCTTGCTCAACATTCGGCAGCACATAATCCATATACAGATACGAGATGGGATACATCAAATCGTCAAATATATAATGCTCCTCCTGTTGTTATTATTATAAGCACTTAATAATAATAGTAATAATTTTATATAAATTTATTATGAAATATTAAAGTTTTTTTTGATATACCTTTAAAGAGGGGTGCAACGCGAAGACTTCTCACATCCCATTACTTCTTTCAACCAAGTGCATCAATGCTGATATGATCGCACCCAATATTAAAGTTATTTTCAATGAAGTTAGAAAGATTTAGTTAAATAATTATAGAGGGATGAAAAAATCGGCGTTAACCACGCAAACTTATTTGTTACATTTAATAAATGTCATAAAAACTTTTTTATACTAAGTAAATGCTATTTTGAAATTTTTAAAATGCACTAGTAAATATTTTGTTTTCTATTTTACTCCTTATTATATGCTTTCATTAATGATCAATTAATATTTATTTAAAGACTGTAAGGAACAATTAAAGAAAGTATCAGGTTAATGTCACAATAAGGCTTTGCAATGCACCTTCAAAACTCCTATTATATTCCTTTGACTTCTTTTGCCAGATAACTTTGCTTTTTTGGTTCTATACACCCATTATATAAATATTATCCCTAGATAGATTTTAGTGGCTGAATGGTCCAATGTTCACAACTTTCAACACGACAATTATGAATATCACCGTCTCTATTAGATTGTTTTTATTTACTACCTTTACTGCTTAATATAAGATATTGTTTGATTTTTATTTTAATTCTAAATATAAAATTTTAATCTATTTTGTTTCTTATATTTATATATTTTTTAAGGTGGTGCTTCTAATAGTAGTGGTTTTAGTCAATATACTTAATTAATAAGAATATTTTAAGAAAAACAACACATATTTATTACAAATAACTAACTTATTTTTTTTAATCTATTCAAATTAATCAACTAGTTTTTATATAAAGATAAGAAATAATATAACCCAACGTAGATCTTTTTCCCATGTATCAGGCAGATTTTAGGGGCAGAATGGCCCAAATGCCTTATTTCCTGTTGCTCTACCTTGTAAGTAAATGTTAAATATGGATGATGCATTAGTCAATAATTAGAATGTTACGTGAATTTGTAAGTAATTGAAAATGACATCTCCATTTCTCACCACCTATTACTTCCTATATAATCAAACGTAAGATAAATGCTACTCCTATTCTTAATTTAAGATACAATTTCTGGGGAGTATCCCCTCCGGTCCTATTTATAAACTTTAAATCTGAGAAGATATGTAATCTATTTTATAAGTTTCAATTTCGATTTGTCATAATATTTAATGTATTTTTTTAATATTGACCTTAATTATTTCTCTCTTATCACATTTCTCAAAACGTTTTCTTTCATCTTTTTTTTTATAATTTATTACAAGGGTATATTTGAAAATAAAAATTTATTTCTAACCTATTTATTGTTTTTAACTAATTGTTCATTATTCATAAATTAGTTACGTTATTTAAAGTTTATAATAAACACCAGAGACAGTGTGATTCTATTTATAATATTCACTCAAAGGATATAAGAAATTTTAACTTTTTTTTTTTAAATTTTTTTTGCTCCTGTTGATTACATGTTCCGTCGCTGTAGTAATTATCCATAAATCGATATTTCACATTTGCTTTTACAAGTCGCTCCATTCAAATTAAGCCATAGGAGCAACCTTAACTTTATGACAACATTACAATGACTTTCCGACTAATATTTCGGCTATTTACTTAAATCCGATAATACGTGCTGCTTATAAACACAGCCAATGGCTCATATTCATCCAGCTATTATGAAAAATACACACGATCTCATTTTGGGCCTTAATAATTAATAGTCCCAAAAAGCCACTACCTAAAGTTTCTGGTCTTCTGTGGGGACCTCAAGATGCCTCAGATCACGTCAACTAAAGAAGAGCTAAAATCTACCACCAAATAATGAAGAGATAACAATAATGGATCTAATATATATATATATATATATATATATATAAAATTCACATCCTTCCACCTGTGGGAGGTCTTTCTAAACGTAGATAATCATACAAAACACCCTGAAATGAGTCCGAGGCTTCTGACTGCTTCAGATAGATAATATTGTTTCCCTTCTTAAATCGATCACTTGCAACCTCAATACTGATCAAGCTATACAGTCCATGAATCCCATGCCTCGCTATCGCATTGTCTTTTCCCATCCTTGCTGTCTCATAGTGTGGATCAACGTCTCTCCCATCATTGAACCAAACCTACATATAATAATCACAGCAATATTTTCACTTGTGCCTTGATTCAGAACTGTAACACAGACTTAAGAGAAAGATCGATAAAACGAGGTAGTTACACACACACACCTGCAACCTGGCTTCATTTGCTGATGCTAAGGCCACTTGAAACGTGTAGTTTCCTGATGATGTTTCTTCGTCAAGTTCAAACTTAATCTGCCATGTTGTCGGTTGGTATGTCTGCTTTCCTGTCCTTCTGCTCACAAAGCAAGTTACGATCATCAGAACCAGTTGACGGGGCTTCTGAACAATAATGGACAGCTAAATTAATTCGACCACGTAGAAGGAGAGTAAAGGAAAATAACCTGGCAACATGAGCAAAAAACCAATTCTTGTCGTGCTTATCCACGCCAACATTATAAACTAGATCTTTCTCTGGATATAAGTCAGTGTAACGTTCCCACAACCCATATTGTCTAAACCTGTGAAAAAGTTAAAAATGAAATTAGTATAAAAGGAGAAGAAAGAGAGCAATATAATATAGCAGCAGTCATTGTCTAATTAAGGCTTTTGTTCGAACTTGTTTCGTGCATCATTCTGGTACAATCTGTTCACGAGCTTAGGGTCAGGGTCTGGTACGTATAACTCTGCGGCTGAGCGATCTGGGACACCAATTTCCCATATGGTAGGACCATTCCTTGGAGGACGATATACAAGTGAACCCAATTTAATAACACCGCCTACAAGAACGAAGAAGTCGTTGATTAGTTCTCATATTTTAAGTTTAAGGATTAAGCTAATTAGATACATCTGGTTTGAGTTCTTGTACCTCGTTTGATGGTGATTGTAGTATTGTATCTGTAATCACCAATAAAGCCAGGAACCCAGGCATACAAATTATAATCCCCTGGTATAACGGATTTGATTTCAAAGTAGCCATTCTCATCAGCTTGAGTCCAGAATTGATAACCCTATATAAAGACATAAGCAAGAGTTTCACTAATTTCTTGCTGCCCAGCCAGTATATATGAAACTTAACTTCAAGCGGCAACAGAAATAAATACCTTGCTCTCTCTCTGCCATGATCCATTTTCTCCAGGCAGAGCTAGACCAACATAAGCAACTTAGCATTGAAGTTTCCCCATCCCTTCTTGAACCTGGCAAAGCAGGACAACTTAAGCTCGTCTTCTTATATAAATGGGTTTATTACAGAACAAATGTAACAAAGATGCATGAACGTATATATATACCAATCTCGGACTTGCAATCGCCCATTTACTGTTCCTCGTTGATTGGGTAGAATGAAATCTGGAGATCGAGGGAAATCATAGGGCCAGCTTCTGACTTCCTCATTGAACTATCAATAGAGTTTGAAGTACAAGAAGAAATCAAGTCTAGTGACATATAAGCTATCCAAGAGTATTACACTGTTTTTAATGGGATGTCATAGAGTACCTGTCGAACAGCATCTGACCAGAGTGTGTCTATATTGTTATTTCTGGAAGCAGAGTTGAGATAGACAAATACAGGGCCAAACACCTTCTTGTAAGTCTCCCCTTTTTCAAAATTAATGGACACACTTGTCCCAGCGTAGTGAGTGCTCACAAACATCTGCGCATCCATTCATTTCAGCAATTTTAGAGAGAGAGAGAGAGGGGAGGGAGAGTCGCTTTTGACACTTATTTGAAATCACTTGAGCAGGTTTTTAATCATAATTTAGGAAACACGAATATAAATATACTATCTCTGGTCTTAAATATAAAAAGTTAATTTATTTTAATTTAGTTTTGTATATAAGATCTCAATCCATTTTGTCTTTTATTTATTTATTTCTTCCAAAATAATCTTTGTAATAGTTACACATATTAAATATTTTATCAAATGATAGCTCGAGCTAATACACATGATTAGCAACGGTATTATAGAAAATATAATATCTATTTATTACAAATAACTAATTTGACAAACTTTCTTAATCTACTCAAATTAGTTAATTAGCTCTTATATTAAAAATCAGGAGTACTATGTGAGTAGAAATGTAGAATTTATCAGGCTCACGTGAAATGTGTTCTAATCATTTACGATCCAAACAAATTCTAAATATGTCAATTAAGATGTGCGATTGCGTCGCGTATTTGCCACGAAATTTTTTTTTAAAAAAAAAGGAAGTTCAAAGTCGTCATCTTTGAATATAGAACTAAAGTCACTCGAAATTTTTTTATAGAACTAAAGTATACACAGAATTATAGAGATAAATTCTCAATTCAATAGTATTACAAATAATTCAAGTTTACTTCAAAGTTGCCAGTGATGAATGACGTAATAATATAAATTTGCAATGATTTGCGATATCATTTGTAAGTTGAAAAATTTTTGGGTTCGATTCAGGCTATTTAATCATTTCATTTATCTTTCACCTCACAATTTAATGAATTTTGAGAATTTTTTTTCTATTTTTATATTTTATAACATATTCCAACAGTGTTTAAATATCAGGGGGGAGTACTACCCTCTTATTCTCAATGTAAGATTTAATTATTGAGTCAATTTTAATCATAAATATAAGACTTATTTATTTATTAATTTTTTAAATTATCCTTATTGATATTTTTTAACCATAATA